TTTTATATATTACACATTTATATATGTATTTTTATATAGTCTTGAAGTTACAACCGGCCCTTTGAGTGCAACCATAATGCAAATGTGGCCCGCGATGAAATTGAGTTTGACACCCCTGACTTAGAGCCATACTAAAGTCTTATAGTCTCTAAAGTAAAGAAAATAACGTTTTTTTCTTCATGGTTTGTGTGCAATATATCTGCATGAGCCTGTTTTTTGGAAAACTTACCATTCAGTGTGATTTATGCTCTACCTTGCCAGATAGACACGGTAGTTGCAGAGGATACCCGGAAGTTGGTGCAAGCAGAGGAAGCCAAGGCCTCAGCGAAAGCTCGTTTTGCAGGAGCCATTGCTGCGGATGCCCAGAAAGACTTGGACCTGGCTCTGCCCGCCCTCGACTCTGCGCTCAACAGCCTCAAGTCCCTCAACAAGAACGATATCACTGAGGTCAGGGATTTAAATGATGGTCAGTTGAACATATTCCTGAAATAGTATTACATATGTAGAAAATAACCTTTTCGTCCATAGGTGCGAGGCATGCAGCGCCCCCCCCAGGGGGTGAAGCTGGTTATGGAGGCAGTGTGCATCATGAAGGGCATCAAACCCAAAAGGGTACCTGGAGAGAAGCCTGGCACCAAGGTGGACGACTACTGGGAGGTTGGTAAGGGTCAGCTTCAAGACCCTGGCAAGTTTCTGGAGAGCCTCTTTAACTTTGATAAGGTAAGGCTCCTAGCTAGTACAGTTATTGCCAAGTCGTTGTTTGTACAGTATATGTTGTCATTAGTGCTTCTAACGAACATTATTTTAGTATCTTTTAGATTTTATTTCAGTACCTAAAGTTCTCAAAAACGTCAGTGTTCAATGCTGATTTGGTTATTTCCTGTTTGGGAGATGTATTCATTTTCTGCTCACAATCATTCTGCAGGAAAACATCCCAGAGAGCGTGATCAGTTTAGTCCAGCCCTACATAGATAACGAGGAGTTCCAGCCAGCCAACATCGCCAAAGTTTCCAAAGCCTGTACCTCTATTTGCCAGTGGGTGCGAGCCATGCATATATATCACTTTGTTTCCAGGGGTGTGGAAGTTAAGAGGGTAAGAACTGAAATCCACATTTGAGCCATGAGGTCACCGATATAAGACACCACTTTAACATTAAATATGTAAATATTCACAGACAGCCCTCAAGGAGGCCTCGGAGGACTTAGCAGCCACGCAGCTCATCCTGGATGACGCCAATGAAAAGCTGGCGGTGGTTGAGGGCGGCATTGCCACTTTGCAGGCCAAGTACCAGGCCTGTGTGGCCAAGAAAGATGAGCTGGACCAAAAATATCAACTGTGTGAGGCCCGCCTCGTCCGAGCAGACAAGGTCAGAAGGAGGGACAAGACAAGCTAAGACTTCCCTGTTCCCCAGGGGGCAATTTAGAATTACACCAGCAGGTGGTTAGAAACAGGATACATACAGAATACAAAAACAAGATGTACTGTCTCTGTACTTAGTGTTATATTGTCTATACATTTTTAACTCGTTTTTGTATTGGTAGTTGAATAATAAACTGGCTTTAATTTCCTCAGCTTATTGGTGGGCTGGCAGATGAGAAGGTGCGTTGGAAGGAAACAGTGCTAAATCTGGAGTACATGGTCAATAATGTGGCCGGCGATGTGCTTCTGTCTGCTGGATACCTCGCATACCTGGGACCCTTCACTGTAAGTCTGTGTGAATACATATCACAAAGTATGATAAAGGTGGGGTAGGTAAGAATGGAGAAACCAGCTTGAGTGCGCTAGAATTTGAAAGTACGCAGCCGAAAAAAATCTGCCCCTTCCTTCAGACTTCCTTACAGAGCCCCTCCTCCAACACACACGAACGCGCACATGACCAATGAGGGCACGAGATAAGTTTGTGCACAGATGGAAGGCTGACAGGCAGGTAGGCCATCCAGTTATTTTAGCCGGGCCGGCTCAGATGATTGGTCGTGCTTTTTACAGCGCTACGGCTTCCACAGATGATATGTTTTTATGTATTTATTTTCAAAGCATTTAATTTATTCATTGCTATCAGGATGTTAAGAGCATTCCATGGAATATAACAACAAGTGTATCTGAAGTGAATTACCTACCCCACCTTTAAATGTCATGCTTTTCTGGTGGAGAGAAAAAGTACAACTTTAGTTTTTGCTCTTCTAGACTTATGTTAAATAAGTAGGTACATTATTGTTAAATATTGATGGTAGGTTAGCCTTATTGTGTCACTGTTTTTCTGCCTGTTGTGTAACTTGCTGCTGTTAAATACCAACCACCATGTGCACTATGTGCTGGATGTGCAATATATATAGATGCCGTTAATAACTGTAATAAACACCTGGCTGCTAAATCCTAATATGAGTACTAGTGATGTGTATTTTAAATGATGTAACTAAATGCATGCCACATATTTAACATTATGTAACAATAACCTGTCTGTGGCTCTTTTTCCTGCTGTAACTACGCACATTTCTCCTCCGTGGGACGAATAAAGGGATTCTGATTCTGTTCCGGTTCCTAATCAGTGCAGTTCTATTGTGTGACTTTGATCAGTATTGTTTTTATGTTTAGGGAGAGTACAGGGCAGCCATGGCAGAGGAGTGGCTGCAGTGTTTCAAAAAGCTAAATGTTCCACACACTGCCGAACCAAACCTGATCAACACCTTCGGAGACCCGGTCAAGATCCGCTCATGGCAGGTCGGAACAAGATTTTGTGTTAACTATTGATTTTTTAAATATGTTTTTCAGCTTACTTAACTTAATGGTCATTTACCTTTTCTGTCATCGCTCCTTGTCATTTTTAATGTGCACAGATATCAGGTCTGCCCAAGGATAACCTCTCAGTGGAGAACGGTGTGATCACCCAGTACTGTCTGCGCTGGCCTTTATTCATCGATCCTCAGGGACAAGCCAACACTTGGATCAAAAACATGGTAAGGTCTCTTATCTGTACTGATCCGCCCATCACTGCAGAGGGTGCCAGTGAGACAAAAAGAGATAGAAAGTAGCTGTGTCAAGATTTAAAATAGCAGAGTATCAAATGCAGATATTAAATATATTATTCTACTGGTTTCAGTAAATATATGTGTACACATTACCCTGAATTCCTTGTGATAGCTTCTCAGTGTCTGTATTGAATCCTCTGTTTATTCAGACCTGCTTCTTGTTGTCCCCCAGGAGAAGGACAGTAGATTGGAGGTCATTAAGTTAAGTGACCGGGACTTCCTCCGCAGTCTTGAGAATGCCATTCGCTTTGGGAAACCCTGCCTCTTGGAGAATATAGGAGAGGAGTTGGATCCTGCCCTAGAGCCTGTCTTGCTGCAACAAGTTAATACATACCCAGACAAGAATCTCTTATGCAAATATCCACGATCCACCATTCACTGGGCTGATAATACACTTTCTTTGGCCCATAGACATTTGTGCAGAGAGGCAGCACCATGCTGAAGCTGGGGGACACAGTCATCCCTTACCAACAAGGCTTCAAGATGTACATCACCACCAAGCTGCCTAACCCACACTACTCTCCAGAGGTGGCCACCAAAGTCACCCTCATTAACTTCACCCTGTCACCAAGGTAACACATGTTATAAACCCAAAAAGGCAAAATCCAGTTCGTTTAAAAGCTATATCTTATTTTTTGTAGATTTACCATTTTGTAGATTTACCATTTTGATTAGTTATCATCTCATTTTACTTAGCTACCTCTAGGTCTAAACAGTCTCATTTCTTGCCCTAATTGACACTGCATCCAAAATACACATGTGGTGTAATTATTGCAATTTTACAAGTGCAAGCATGTATTAGTAGGTAACATTTTAAAATACAAGTTTGTGTATTTGGTAAGATTGATAAAGGCAGTATTTCAGTCTCATATGTTTGTTGATCGTTAGTAAATAATATTCCAAAACATCCTTGATATTACAATCAAATGTGAGCAAAGGATTGACAAGAAATCTGCTTGTGACTTTCAGAAAGAAATCCAACATTTCTTCAGAATGAATTCAGTTGATGAACTTTATTCTAACAACTAACGTCTGGCTCTCACTGTCTTTATTCTCAGCGGTCTGGAGGACCAGCTGCTGGGCCAGGTGGTGGCTGTGGAGCGTCCAGACCTGGAGGAGGCTAAGAACCAGCTGATCATCAGCAACGCCCAGATGAAACAGGAGCTGAAAGAAATTGAGGATGAGATCCTGTTCCGACTCAGCTCCACTGAGGGAAACCCCGTGGACAACGAGGAACTCATCCAAGTGTTGGGAGCTTCCAAGATCAAAGCTGGAGAGATCAAGGTAAGAAAGTGGGAGAGCTATAATCTCCAATACCCCAACAAACCTCATATATTGTGATTCTTTAGCAATGTTCCATCAAAGTCATATGCTACTGGATTTGACTAACGCAAGCTGGTTTTGCTGGCAGGCCAAAGTGGTGGTGGCAGAGCAGACGGAGAAGGACATCGACGCCACCCGCCTGGAGTACGTTCCAGTGGCTGTGCGCACACAGATCCTATTCTTCTGTGTATCGGACCTGTCGAATGTCGACCCCATGTACCAGTACTCACTGGAGTGGTTCCTCTCCATCTTCATGGCTGGCCTGGCCAACTCTGAGAAAGCAGGTAGAATTTCCACAGTAGCTCGTATACACAGAACTATGTCTGTTCAGATGGAAAAGACACAAAACTGCTTTATGGCTTTAAAACAGATGGGAACATTATTTTCTGCTTCCGCTGAATGTTTTTGATGTTTTTTACAGACACGGTGGAGGAGAGGATCGCCAACATAAATGAGTTTTTCACCTTCAGCCTGTACAGCAATGTGTGCCGCAGCTTATTTGAGAAGAACAAACTCATGTTTGCCTTTCTCCTGTGCGCTCGCATCATGATGAATGAGAACAAAATTGATATGGTGAGAAACGTGGGAGTTTGCAGTCTCCCTCCCCCTCTTTAATTTCCTGTGGGAACTCGTACAAACACAGAGGTGGAGTTTGTCCTTTTATATTTCCTGAATTTAATTGGTCCCTCTGTGGCAGGCTGAGTGGCGTTACCTGCTGTCTGGAGGGATGCCCGTCCAGGAGCTGACGAACCCAGCAGTGAGTTGGCTGTCGGAGCGAGCCTGGCAGGACATTCTGGGCCTCAGCGCTCTGGACAACTTCAGAAACCTGGCAGAGAGCTTCCCCGAACATCTGCAGGGTTTCAAGAGCATCTTTGATAGCAACCAGCCTCACAGGCATGCATAGGAAAACCCCTTGTTAACAAATGGACACTTGTTTCCTTCATTTCTACTGTGCAGTAACCGTCCATATCTAACAGGGTGTCCATCCAACATCTAGTGGTGACTTTAACTTTTCCTCTCCTCGCTCCCCTCCCCTCCTCTCCTCTCTCCTCTCCTCTCCTCTCCCCTCACAGGCATGCATAGAAACAAAAACCTTGTTAACAAATGGACACTTGTTTCCTTCATTTCTACTGTGCAGTAGCCGTCCATATCTAACGGGGTGTGCATGTGTGTGTCTTGTAGGGACCCTCTCCCAGGACAGTGGGACACCGAGCTGGACTCGTTCCAGAAGCTAATGGTGCTGCGCTGTCTGAGGGCCGACCGTCTTGTTCAGGGCCTGCAGGACTTTGTCTCGGCTCAGCTGGGACAACGTTTCATAGAGCCTCAGGTAGAGTTTCTCTCCTCCCTCGTGCCCTAGAAGGTTCGTTTGGATCTGATGTAGTGGGGCTGTGTGAGGTCTGTATCCTTAGTCAGTGTATTACCTACTGTAGCTGGAGATCTAGCCTCCAGGTTGGAAAAGCACACAGCAGTACTGAAGCAAAGAAATCCTCTGCTGTGGACCGAGGCAGCAGCTAAACCTATTATAGCCACCTAAAAGAAAGGAAAATGAATACAAATGTAAGCGTTAAATATATTTATAATATTTTCAACGCTTTACCTTCCCTTCGGACATCCCTTTTGGATAAAGAACTGAAGCTATTATATCCTGGGTATCCTGTCTTTAAAGCCACCAGACAGCATTTACAAAAACAGTCATTTTACGTCACTGACTGCCTCCTCATCAGCAGTCTATCTGGGACACTCCGACTGCCATGTGGGATAAGAACCTCATACAACCTCACTTCATACAATCCAAACTAACCCTTCACATTACAACCAATATGTATGCACTGACACAATTAAGTCTTATTTGTGACAGTGGCTCCGAATAGTGAAGCAAAATTAACATTGCAATTTAATTCAATTTGTTTTGGTTTGTATCGCAGCAGTGCAATGTGTGGAGGACAGATCTACTATGCTAATTTCAGCCGGGAAAAATACATGTGGATGTTTTGCTGTACAGTCGTATTAATGTCTTGTTACCCTCTCCATCTTCTCACAGACGTCAGACCTGTCGGTGGTCTTCAAGGAGTCTTCCCTCTCCACCCCCCTCATCTTTGTGCTCTCCCCTGGCACAGACCCCGCTGCTGACCTCTACAAATTTGCGGATGTCATGCAGTTCTCCAAGAAAATGAGTGCCATCTCTCTAGGCCAGGGCCAGGTCAGAGCCAGGGGCTGCTCTCTCTCTCTCTCTCTCTCTCTCTCTCTCTCTCTCTCTCGCAGAACCAGGCCGTTCTCATCTCACTTGTTAAGAATGGCCACCTATGTGATAATTGCTTTCTCTATTTATGGCCGTGGGACAGGGCAATGTACTCAACTATTTTAGGCAGATGCTCGATTCCAGGACACCAAAAAAAGCACCAAAAAAATAACAACACCTCATGTGTAGGTTTTGGGATGAATGCAGACTCATATTCCACCCACCGGAAACTAGCCAAACATTTCTCCAAGCAAAACACTCTCCCCCTGAGGTCGTTCAAAAGGTGTTCGCGTGTGTTTGTCACATCACTTGCAATTATGTGAGTTAGACTCTTGGCTTGTGCTGCGCTGTTACATCAGCCTGTCCTAGTTTTACATCTCCATTGAACCTAGTGCTCTTAAATGTTTCAGTAAGACTGCAAGAATGTCAAACTAGCAACAGGGAGATGTACAGTGGGGCAAAAAAGTATTTAGTCAGCCAACAATTGTGCAAGTTCTCCCACTTAAAAAGATGAGAGAGGCCTGTAATTTTCATCCTAGGTATACCTCAACTATGAGAGACAGAATGAGAAAAAAAATCCAGAAAATCACATTGTCTGATTTTTAAAGAATTTATTTGCAAATTATGGTGGAAAATAAATATTTGGTCACCTACAAACAAACAAGATTTCTGGCTCTCACAGACCTGTAACTTCTTCTTTAAGAGCCTCCTCTGTCCTCCACTTGTTAACTGTATTAATGGCACCTGTTTGAACTCGTTATCAGTATAAAAGACACCTGTCCACAACCTCAAACAGTCACACTCCAAACTCCACTATGGCCAAGACCAAAGAGCTGTCCAAGGACACCAGAAACTAAATTGTAGACCTGCACCAGGCTGGGAAGACTGAATCTGCAATAGGTAAGCAGCTTGGTGTGAAGAAATCAACTGTGGGAGCAATTATTAGAAAATGGAAGACATACAAGACCACTGATAATCTCCCTCGATCTGGGG